CAGTACTTTCCCGTACGTTGATGACTGCAAAAGCAAATGGAATAGAGTTGATCCCTCGAACGTCAAATTTGGAGTACATTAAAAGATGAAGAGGCCAAACCTCAAAAACCAAGACCTCTTGGTAATCTGACTTTTCCCTGTACAAGATCTTTTCAACTTTAATTGAATGGGCTTCTCCTAATTATACGCACAAAAAGCCATCAGCAGCAATAATTTCACACGCATTACACAAATAATACTAAACAATCAAAGTGAACGATTTTATACATAACTGTATAACATGGACAATTGTTATCAGGAATTGTAGTTCAAATAAACGAGGATAACAGTGGCAAATGTTCAATAAATACCATCAAACATTTAGGTCAGACAATCCGGTCTTTCCTCAGAAGATTCAACGGTATCTAAAGTCTACAATAACTGAGGAAACTATCAAAATAAGAATATGAACAATTTTCAGAAGCAAGTTTTGAAATTAAGGCTATCAAAAATCATAAAAGAGGAAAAACTTTCGCTGCAATAAAACAAATTTGAACCAACAGTGCAGAATTGCAGACTAGTAAGTAGAACCTACCTGGCCACATCGGGTTGTTGAAATATTCTGGTTTTACAGATTTCCCTGTAAAAACAAAAGGATAAAATAGAAGTCAGGTCTTTGTCAGAAATTAGGCCTTATTCTTATAACTTGAACCGTAGCAGATAATAACCTGAGAAAGTTTGAGAAGCCGAAAACCATCCAGAAACAACAGTGGAATGTCACTTTGCCTCTGACTCAGGGGCTGAAGCTTTAGCCTTCAAACAACATGAAGGAATTTCCTTCTCTATCCCACTCCCGTTACTCGCCTTCCCATCCATAGTCTTCGGGCATTCCAAACCTTTTCCTGCGTCGGCCTCCATATATTATTCTTTTCTTCTCTGGCTCCAGTCTCTGTACAATAAGCACAAAATTTTAAAAAGATAATCCTTAAGTTCATATTACACAAAACAAAGAATCACAGCACTTACAAAACGACCCTACAGGCAACACAATGCCAACAGAACCTCATTAATAAGAATGACCCACAAAACAAATACTACAAAGCATTGTCTTTCCTATTTTATTTGGTCATACAAATTAGGCTTCAACTTTTGTTCACCAACAAATAAAGGGAGATTTACCAAGAAATAAGCCACCAGAAAAAGAGAAATCAAAATTACAATTACAATTCTACTTTGAGCATAAGTAAAATAATAGGTAGATATAAAAAGTGAACTAAGTATAAGTAGAAGGAAAACAAAAAAGATTTTCATAAAATCAGCAATATAATATAGTATTCTACAGAATCAAACAATCACTGATTCAGGCTAAAAAAATAGACGGCACAATCAAATCTCTCTCTGACAAAATAACGTGCCCAAATAATTTATTTAATTCCATATTTAAGTCCGGCAGCATCTGATTATGCGCCCTTAAAAAGGAAACAAATCATGTCTCAATAATCTGCTTCTCCTTTCATTTCGAGGTTTTCTTTTCAAATTTCAAAATCAAATTAACAAAAATTCAAACAATCAAATAAAATAAAGTAAAAGAGAAACTAATACGCTAACAAAGAACAACCAATCCCGCGAGAAAGTTCGAAACGCGTGCTTAAAAACAGAGTGGCAAATAAAACAGAAAATGCAGCGCGTAGCATGAAATAACAGAACGGGGAGGTGCAACGTGTTATTGCTATGGCGCAGCGTAGAGAATAAAAGAAGAATGTGAAACGCTAGGGTTTAGAATTCGAAAAAATGAAACAGGAAGAAAGGAAAAGGAAAGAAGTGAAAGAGAAGGGGAAGAAGTTAGGGTAAAAAGAAATGTGGTGGTGAGAGTGGGATGAGCGTGTTGCCTGATGAGTGATGCGAAAGGCAGAGAGTGAAGCAGAACCGAAGCGACGAAGGAAGATGGATAGCGACTAACTCTGCAACACCCTATCCACTTCTCTCTCTCTTAATCTCTTCTTTTCCTCTATCATATCTGTCTTTTCAGAGCTTGTGTTTGGAGAAATGGAGGTTCTGTGCCTTTATTTTATAGGACATTTTTAGAGGTGCACGCTCTCGATCTGGTTTTTGTTCCCACGTTTGCCTTTCTTTTCTTTCTTCTTTTTTCATTTTCTCTTTTTCTTTCTTTTCATTCATATCGGAAAAGCCTGCTTTTGCCTTTTTTTCTGCTTAAAGCTCAGTCACAAATATTAATTGTGGAATTTTTAAATAGGATGTACCATGTCAAACACAACAACACTAAAGTGTAAATGTCACTCAAAACATTATTTATGTTCTGTGATGGATGGCCTATGATCTCATGTTTCTCACATGCCAAATTCATTTACTTTTCTAAATCAATGATTTATTTTTTATTTTTTTCATCTTTCTCTTTTTTTCGCACGTCTTTTATTCACCATGTTTAATCCAACCGATTTTCATTCCCACAATCACCCATTCCAAAGCTAATGACAGTGAAATCGTAAAAATCACAAATTGCTTAACACTCTTTTCAAAGTGGATTAACTCCTTTTTATAATGTTTTAAAAAATATTTTTTTACTTTTTCCTTGCAAATAAAAAGGTAAAGTATTTTTCATTTTCCTTTTATGAAACTTGTTTCTTTTATTTTATTATAATGTTGACGATGATCTAAATATTATGAAATATTTATTTTTTGTTTTGACATTATTAAATTATGATGTTATATTTCTTTAGTGTTATTTTATATATTATTTATCAGTATTATTCAATCACCGGTTCGTGAGTCTTCAATCGCTATCTTTACCGATTAAATAATCAGTTAGGTTTTCGAAAAACACACACATATATATAAACCATCTTTTATAGTTAATTAGTACAGTAATTTAATGTTTTAGAAATATAATATAATAAATAATTTCATTAATGAATATAACATAAGTTCATACAAATATACGCAATACACTTAATATATATCACAAATAGAAAAACATAAAAACATATAAATAAATTGAAAATGTAATGTCAATTTCAAAACTCTTACACAGAACTCTTCAAAATTAAGATATGTACATTTATATATTCTGATTTATTAAAATATCCTCTATACATAAAAAGACAATTAACGTAATTCTTATCTTGATCTCACCGAATATTTTATTTGTTTGATATTGCACGTGTGAATACATAATCATTACTGTTTATCAATATATTAGGAAGAAATCACTAAGTTAACAAAAATAGAGATTATTACACATTAAGAAAAAAAAATAGAAGGGAACTTAGACGACAAAACATATAGAGAACACAAGTGTGGTGTGTGTGAGAAGAGAGAGAGAGAGAGAAACTTAAAGGAAAAGATAGAAACAACTGTTTTGGAGAAAGTAAGAGAAAGTAAGGTGAAAGCAACCATATTCAAAATCAATGTATTGACAGTTTCAGAGAAAAATCTGCTCAAAAGGAGGATCTATTTTTAATTATAAACATTGAACCTATTTTTTTTAATTTAGTTACGTGAATTCTATTATTTTTGTTGTCAAGTGAAGAATTGTTTATTAGAAAATAATGACAAAAATAATTTGAATAAGAAAATAAACTTATTTTCTTATTTAAATTATTTTTGTCATTAGTAAAAGAAAAATACAAGTATGGATGAAGATACTTTTATAAATATTATTCTAAAGCTTTTTGTATATGATTAATATGAATTTGTATGAATATTCTTACTATATGTGCTAAGTTCTATTGAAAAATTACATATTATGAGTTTAGCAAAGTTACAAGTTATTTGTCTATACTGTTTTTTCAGTATATTCCAAATGAAAAAATTTATTTGAAAATTTTGAAATTTCAAAAGATTGAAAAATATTTTATAGCACCACAGATACTGTATTAATATGTACTTGACAAAATAAAACAAAAAACAAAACAAATATGTAAATGCTATTAATGTTTTTCTTTTTTAAAATAATACTCGTGTTTTTTTTCTGTGTATTAAAGTCTTAAAAGTTGAGACAAGGGGAGAAGGAAGTGTACATAAAAAGAAAGTAAAAATAAAAAACAAAGGAAAAATAGAATAAAAGATACTTTTGAATAAAGGATGACAAGAAGGACGTTAAAAGAGCTTATAGATATATGATTTGTCAATTTTAGAAAATATAAAGAAAAATATTTTAAAATTTTCTATAAGGTCCCAAACATTTCAAGAAATTGATAGGGGTTTCTGCATTATTACAGTGAGGACTAATTAACTGAATATATATGAATTTATACAATCAACTTATTAGTAAAGATATTATGCAAGTTCATGAATCTACCCACCTCATTAGGAGGTTTTAACTTCTTCCTCACATCACAATCGTATAATTTTGGTCACTATGTATTATGTATTATTTGTATTGGTTTGTGTTTATTTCTTTAAAACTTTGCTTTTGGATGTTTCTTGAACCATTTTTTCACATAAATAGTCACCTATTATTATATATGGTTAGACATTGTAAGCTAGGTTTTTCACATGTTTTGGAACATTTTTAAACAATGGTCAAATAAGGATAAATATTAAAACAATATTGATTGTTTTGTTAGTTTTTAAGTGAAATAAAAATTAGTTATTAAGATTAAATTGATTAAATATTAAAGTTCGATGTAAATTGGTATTAAGCATTGTATCTGTGTTTGGTTTAGATTGGGTGTTTTAAAAGCATATTTTGATGTATAATCTAAATCATGATTATAGTTGCAATAATATGTGAAATTTGATGTTTATAATGTTTTGGTATGAGTAAGAGTAGTTGGAAGGGATTGAAAAACTAGTTTTTCTTCTTTATTTATTTTTGTTATTTTGTATGTATTACTTAAGGGTTAGTTAGTCATTCAAGATGTTCAAGTGACAACATTCATAATAATTATAGAACATTATTGATCAATTGTCTATTTAGTCGTTAAAGCGATATAATTTCTCACTATATTATTTATCGATTGAGATTTGAGTGAGAAAGAACTTGCATCAATTCTTGAAAACACTTGTTATGCAAGCAATGATAAGATAAGGTTTTGAGGTGGAATTTAGAACTTAATAGGTTGATGTATGTAGTTGTGTCACTCAAATAATGATATAAAGTTTGAGAAATGAAAATTTAGTGTTGATTCTTTCTCCACTATAATTTCAAACCCTCAAATGTTGGTTGGTGGTTTGGTTAAAGTAAGAAAGATGTTATATTAAATTCAATTGAAGTATCATACAATCACTGAGATGATGTTAAACAAGAATATTGTCATTTAAATTGTGTGAATTATTCCTCAAGCGACATATAACTTAAGTGACACTTCTTTATTTATTTTTTAAATTAATGTTTGAAAGTAATTTTGTGTTATTAGATTATTTAAGTTGAATATTTATTTTTCCATTGCTCATACTTATGGATATTGTTGAAAGTCTCACATTGAAATATAAAGTCAATTTATAATATATAATGGATGCAATTGT